AGCATAGGCCGCCCACCGGTTTTCTCCAACCAACTCTGTCCTGGGCTTCCCTTTCTGGTTCTTTCCAGTTTTTGTTCATTCTTCTCATGTCTTTCTCTGTTTCTCGGCGAAATGTGTTCCTTGGCTTTCCTCTTTCTCCTTTGACCTTGAAGGTTCCATGTGAGGGCTTGTCTTGTGACGCAGTCCGGTGCATTTCTCAGTGTGTGTCCTATCCACTTCCACCGCTTCTTCCTGATTTCCTCCTCCACTGGAATCTGGTTTGTTCTCTCACACAGTATGTTGTTACTGGTGGCGTCTGGCCAACGAATCCGAAGTATTTTGCGAAGACAACTGTTCATAAATACTTGTATCTTCTGAATGATGGCTTACTTAGTTCTCCATGTTTTCACTCCATACAGTAGAACTGTCTTGACATTTGTATTGAAAATCCTTCATTTTAAACTAACCATTAATTATTTTTCAAATCCTGTAGTCTTTAAATAATCCTGCTCGAATTAATTTGATTATCATAGAGCTCCTAATTTTTAAACGCAACTATTAACAATATCCGGTTATTTCAGCAAACGTCAATTTCCAGTTATTTAGGAATGCTGTCACCTAGATTAATAGGGGGCTTTTAAATTTCATAGTTTACAATAAATTCCTACTGAGATAACTTTATTTCGAATATTTCAATTATATCGACTGGTAGTAAAGACTGGTGTTAAAAAAAATATGAGTACGAGTAATAAATTGACTATGTTTTTATAAAATATGATCGAAAGTGCTAATTAGCTAACGGGTAAATTTTAAAAAAAAATCAGTAAGTGATTCTAACTAAATTGATATAAAGACTACATGAATTAAATAGGTAAAATCAACTTCGCATTTTTGTATAGATTAAAAAACTTGATTTTATTCAACAGAACTCAATAGATATCGCTTGAGATTATTACAGAAATTACCAAATTAGAATCATTTCATACAATTTTATTATATATTTAATAACAAAACAAACTCGAAATCTGTTATGCAATATAGAATTTTGCGTTTGTAAGACAAAATTAGAACAGCATTTTGTCACGTATTTCCGCATAAATACTTAAAAGCTTTACATATTCTACAAGTAAAAAAAATCTTTTTAACTGGTTAGGATAAGCTGAATGTGTTAAACATGAAAATTGTATGATAGATTACTGAAAGTTTGTAGTAGTGGTGGTGATGGTCATGTATTAATTTCTATGAAGTTTATGATTTAGTAGACAAATGAAAGTTTTGTCCTATTCATCAGTTTAAAGTCTTGAAAATCTGTATCCACAAAGGAACACTTATAAACTAAGTAAAATATACAATTACTCATTAATTCATTTGTATTAGTAGTTTAAATCTTTCCACTGATGTTTGTGACTGTAACTAATCAATCATGTATGTGCTCCCTGAGCAGATTACCTCAATATTGCGGTTCATTCAAAAGAATTGTTGACAAAAATGGTTGGTGGCCATCAGTGGAATTTAAGTCTCATATTTTCTCCCATCTAGGATTCGTAAGTTGGTAGTTTAGAGCTGATTTTCACGTATTACTGAATTAACCAAGTTGTGAATTAGGTTTTTCAAGTGACATACTAAAAACTAGCCAGTTTTTTCTTGAAACGATATTGGCTCACCTAAACTTAAATTATTTGGATTTTTCTTTACTGCACATTTTTTGTAGTAAGGTGAAAAAGTATTAAGTTTTCTGATTTCTGATTAAATAATATTTCTTATCTATAAGCATCTTTTAAGAACTTTTCTTGAATGAAAAATATGTCTTGTTTAGAATTCCGCAACACTTAACACAATACTTGGTAGTGTTAATATCAATCGGTATTAATCTCAAAACAGTCTTTACACAACTTCACTCATTTTCATACCGGATACATGATTAGATATTATGTATATTGACATTGTAGGGATAAATATTTTGATTCACTATTGTAAAAATATTTATTTAAAGTGTTTATTCGTACACTGCGTCGCCTCATTAAGTTGTACCACTGTTATATCGAACACTATTGAAAATAAACCAGTGTACCTTAAAAACTATGTGTTAAGGTAAATAGCTTAAACCTGACTATCTTGTGTTCAACATAAGTCAATTTGATTTATTACTAGTTTAGTGTATCATTGTTCATTATTACACTGTAGTTAAACATTTACTACTTCAGATGACATTACTACGTATTTTTGATGGTGTATATCAAATGTCAACAACCATTATAAGTCATATAAAAAGTGGAGAAAAGTATACACATTAAATTTCAAAAGTCACAGATACTAACTAAACAAAAAAAATTAATGATTTCAGGAAATATTAGTTTTTGAATAAAGATAATAGTTAATTAGCATAACTTGCATTTTCTATTGAAATATGTTCAGGAAGCCAAACTCGAAATTTAAATTTTATGTTGAATGAACAACAATTCAAAACAACAATGAGAAAATAAATGTCAATTTAAATCTTTAAAATTATAGAAAAAATTCGAGTATTGTTATTATAATAATGCTTACTCCCTAATTTATGCATTACTAGGACAAGAGCATATATAGAAGACTTAATTTAAGCGCTATCTATTTAGAAAGTTGATGAAAAAATTTATTGTAAGGCTAAGTTAATATTTTTTATTTGGAAATCTGTACGTGTTATGTGATGCAACAGAATCATAGCTAGCGATTTCTTGTACAGTATTGTCAAATAATAAATATTGCAATTTCCCTGAATATTTACTGCTTAACATGAAAACTAAGTGGGTATTTTCAGAAATTCAATGTAAACATACTTATGTAATTAATCTTTGAGGATAGCCCATTTGGGTTTTCTTCTTGCTAAATTTTAGTGTAACTCTGAATCACGCTGTATTTTCGAGATCTTATTAAGAACCATTTTCCCAGTATTGTATGACCTCCACACACTTATGATACTTCCAAACACTTACATTGGATAGAATTAACATAACATATAACTTCAGAATAACAACCAGAATGAAAATATGCAGTGCCAACAGGATATCTCTGCGGTAAATAAAAATTGTTTCAGATAAGGACGTTAAGTTAACAATCTGACAGGATGATGGGCACATTGCCATATATAAATTGACAAAACATTATGAAAGTATCATTGAACTAGGCGGTGGCTGATAAAAAACTGACTTTCTGAATCATAATCTTTCTAAAAGTTACAATATGTATAGCGTAACACGGGTTTAAAGTATGTTCTGTACTACTATATCTGATTTATAAATAATTCTTCGGCATACATTTTTGCCAATAACGAAGTCACATTTAGATTATTCTATTGATAAACCTTTGAATTATCTTCATACGTCACTGGAAAGAACAGCGAGTAATAAAAACTGTCAAGTAAATTATCAATTATAACATAAACGTAGTTTAATCTAGAGATCATAAATATGATTTTTTTCTTTTCGTTTGAATCAAAATTTAAAAGTAAATTTCAATGACGTCATTATGATAAAACTAAATAGTTCAACGTAATATTTGTATTTTTTAAGAGAAGTCTTATCATGGACTAACAACTTCAAAAGCACTAGTGCTCACTCTGGGTGGTGCATAGTAAAACAAAAAGCACTAGAATGTATAACTACCTAACTGCTATAAAATAATGTAGAAAGCATATTCTTCAATCTGCAACACAATACGCAACAAGCTTTATCTACTCCATGAACAGTATGTTGTACACTGCTATTGGATTATTTAATTTAATCTGTTGTATTAGGATGAATAAAATCATTTCAACATATAAACGAACTTAAGCAGACATTATTTTGTTATTCGGCAACATAAGCAAAAGTGAATAAAACAAACTGATCATGAAAATTCATAATTCAAAGGTAACAAAGAAATAGTACACAGAACGAACCATTAGAGTAGGAATTTATAATATTTCAAAAATAGTATAAACACTTCATTAGGCTTCTTCCAGAGAATATGGAATAAGTGATATCAGTACAATTCGATACTTTATCATCATCCAACCATATTAAGTATAAACCTTACTTTAGAATAGACATTAGTCATGAATCTGGAATGTTTTGAGTTAAACATGATATAATATGGTTAACTGTTTTTCAGTCCTACTATACCACAGTGGTTAAACTACACCTATAGATAACATTAAAATAATTAACATTTTTATAAAGTGAATTTGGACAGGATTAGGAGCACGGTAAAATTTGAATAATCGAATAGAAGTTGATGCTCGAGACTACAACGTTCAGAAGGTAGTTGGAGTAGAAAATTCATGGAGATTTTATCAATAAGCATTTTACTAAATTTCTTCTTTTCATTCAAATATTTCTAAGCATTAATTAGTCCTGAACTCAGAGTTTCTCAAATCTCACATAGATTTCACACAACTGTTATGCTTAAAACATATGGGTATTAGTTCTCGAATCAAACCTTATTTCATATTTTGAAGTTTCTTAAACTACTAACTGACCACTTATTGTTATTTGATCGAAATAAGATATTATCAAATTGTGCCTCCTCGATAAAGGCTGACTCATAAAAAAAGAATTACCTTTGAAGTGTATTTTACAGGTGAGGAACATACGTTATCAATCAGCTCAATGAGTAATTCATCCATACTGTCCACATTTATTTTCAGTGTAATATATAAATGTTCTAGTTTTGATACTGGCAAGAAATCTACTTCTTGAACGGTTCACACTATTATAAAGCTAACAAACTGTTAATTTCTCGCAGTCATTCAAAATGACTTTCGTGGTTTCATAAAACAGAATATATTCATTCCCAAAACAACACACATAAATACACCAAACAATGGAATCATCCATTAAACCTTCCTCTAATCATTCAGAAATACAAGTTTAAAAAATCTTTCAAATATATATTTCATTGAGCATACAAAAGCATAAAAATATTTAATAATTCATTGACAATTATAAGTTAGACCCTACACAAAACTACATTTTGTTAACGATAATCTGAACATTTGAAAGCGTAGCTGATCACTAACAAAATTACTGATAAGAATTAAAGTATTTTATAAACAGTGTTCATTAATGTACATTTTCAGTTTCAATAGAAAAGTTCAAAATCAAATTAAAAATGATGTTTCTAAATGTTTTTGTTCAATAATTTCAAAATTTAGGTATTTTTTTATCAACATTGACACAAGTACCCTAGTCATCATCAATACCTTTAGTCTTACCAGGTAGTGTCTTTTATAACACAACTTTATTTTGTACACATTGGTTAACATATTACACCTATCAAAATGAATGGTGACAGTAGAATTTTTCCAAACTGAAATGATAATTATATTTAATAGTATGATTTCTTCCTGTTCATAATAAATATCGTTTTTCATTTTGAAGTCATCGAAAAGCATTATAATGACTAATTTTCTAGTCGTTTCTTTGCAACTGTACAATTAGTTTTCAGGTAGGTATGCGCATCTGTCAATATTATGTTTCCATAACTGAAGTCTGTGTATAAGGGGCGCTTAAACTGAGACGTATAGTAGCTGGTTTCAAGTCGGATTTCATTATTTGTCCCAATGATTTATGTTCTTTCATTAATAATCGTTCACTTTCTTTATCTATCGATGCATTATCATGTCTTGAATGCCATGAATTCATATAATGCGTAGAATGACTAGTGATTTTTCGTTGATTATTGTGTATTCCACATTTACTAATAACATTCCAGAATAGATCTTTCAGTTGAGAACGAAATCTTCTTCCAAGAAATACGTAGACAAAAAAGTTTACACCACTATTCAAGCATACTAAAGCATTTGTAACAGGACGTATAATCTCTATTAAACTTCGATGATTAATCAAATAAATTATTTGATAGCCAACAGCTGGTAATTCACATACTAGATATATTATAATTACTCCCACACATAAACGATTTACTTCCATTGTACGTGAACGACTAGATTTTGTAACACGTACAAAATAAGCATGATTTTCTGAAGAACTTGGTGTTCCATGAGAATATTTCGAAATATTATGATGATGATGATGATGAGATGAATGTTGTTTTTGAGAATGTTGACGATAGTCACGGTGCAAAGAATGATAATTACATTGTTCTAATTGCCTATTAGCACAGTCTATTCTAGCGATAATTTGCGCCCTCCTCTGATTTGCATACTTAATTCCTCGAATAAGTAGTACATTAAAAAGGGCAATGATAACATTAGGTAGAATAACAATTAGAATTGTATAACTGATTAGACGATAAATCAATCTGAAAGCATAGTTATTATTCACCCATGATCGTATAGCACTATGATATATTAGAATTCCTTTAGGTAATTCCGTAAAATTGTGATAACCAGAATGAAAAATATTTGTTTTGTTATCGTCATTAGAGTAACATAATAATGGCATTGCATCAACAATAAAAAAGTGTGGAATATTATAAAGAGAGGATAATACAACAATAAGTGTTATAGCAATATGTGCTTTTTTCCGTGTACATATACTAGGTGCATGAAGTGGTTTACATACAGCCACCCAACGTTCTAATGATACCAGAACAACAGTCCAATTTCTCATCATCCTCACTGCCATTCCAGATCCATAGAGTATTTTACTTGTATGTGCATAGAAATTTATATATGACAACCATAAAATATAGAAAGATAATGTTTTGAGAAATTGGAAAAAAAAGCATAAAATTAGAAATGCTGTATCAAATATAGCTAGACTGGTTAGTATTAAACTAGTTGTTCCATGAGATTTATCACGTGCTAAAACGAATCCGCTTAAAATATTACCAGTAATTCCAGCAAGTAGTATACAACCAACCAAGAATACATCAAATGCTACATTATATAAAACAATCCAGTTCGGTTTAAAGAGACCTGGCATATTTCCAATGTCCTGAATTAAATATGTATGATTACTTGGTATTTCAATTAGTTCAGCACAGTTTGATAACAGTTTCAACAAATCTTCCGTACTCATATCATTAGAGTTTAGAAAGTTAGTTTCATTATTTAATTCCATTTCTTCGAGATTACTAACGTGTTTTATTCATAATAGAATGATAAGTTTGAATTATGAGGAAACGTCACTATACAAACATTTAGATAGCTGTCATTTTGGCCAAATACTACTTGTTATGATTGGTTTATTACTAACCAATCGAAGAAGTCTATTAGGTAATATTTTTAAACGCTTGTAAAACTGATGTCCTATTATAAGTAATCTTAACTTATTTTAATGGTATCAAACAGAAACTTTTTAGCCTAAACATTTAGCAGAAATTCTCATTGCCCATCATTAACAATCGTGGCGAATTTTTCAAAGAAAATAGTTTTAGGAAACAAGTTTTAAGTTTTATTTTGGAGAGTACATTGACAGCTATTTTGGTTGAATCTTGTTGGTTTGATAATCTGTAAGTAGTCTTTTCATAACTACGTAACTATAATTAAAAAGTCATTTAAATTTGGACAATTGTTAACACTGTGGTTTGGGAAGACTTGTATACTAATTGAGTTCAAAACATTAAAACATAGATAAAATGCATTATATTAATATCTGACTAAAAGCAGTTTACCACATCGTGTTTTGTTACTTTAGAGAAGCACAAACAATTCATACCGATTAATTTTTTAGCAATGAATGTTAGACAGCAAAGAAAGTATTAACTGTAAATAATAAACAGGAATGTTTAGTAGCTTTTAATGTTGAGTTGACTTCAATCTACTTAATATTAAACTCTAAAATTACAATATGGGCTGAGGAGTCTTGAGTTACTATCATAATGTTTCTACCTAGTTCACAGGTATTAACTGAAAGTACACCTGAATGCTCCATAGAAGACATTAAATATAGAAGAAATTTAAGTTTAATTAGACTGAAGAAATTTCTTTCATATGTGGCCCAACAAAAATCTAAATTTCAGTTAAATGTAAACAGCTTACGAGAATGCACTTCTCTCCTTTAAGTACACTAAAAACAATGATTAAATATTATGTTGATTTGTGGCAAATGTTTTTACTTCTGCTTCATTAAGTGTAACGAAGATCTTTTCTCGTTTTTCCAGAGCTCCGTGTTAATAACGTTAACCAAGCAAAATATTGTTTTTTGTTGTGAGCATAATTACGCTAACTGAAATGCATAGATTCATATTTCTGTTGTTTCAACTTTGTGACATTATTTCAAAAAGAGAAACAAGAAAATAAAAAGCTTCTGTCCGTAAAATAGTTAAATTCAAATCGAAAGCAGTGTATTGTTTAAATATTTTCGACTAAAAATAACATTTTCATTTTTTCAAATATCTCAAGAAAAAAACGTTTTGTTCAATATGGGGAAATCCTCTGATAACTTATAGTTATAATCTCTGTCAAAATCTCGACATTTGTACATATATTTTAGATACAAATGATGCATATCTTCATGAGTAATTCAAAATTCCTTTATAAATCTTGTTTCAAAATGTATTGTGTCTTAAATCTAACCTTTTTCTGTTAGACATCAAAGTCGATAAATAAAAGGGTTTCAGTTTAACCTAAATCTTTCTAAAGAAAGTTACCAAACATTTTTTCGGGAAAGTGACTTTACTTACTTTACTAAAGTTTTCTTCACTTACACTGGACAGCATATACTGGTCACTATAACGAGTATTCACAGCATTTTATAAATAGAAAAAACAAACAGTAAAGTAGTGTTGTGGGCTTTAAATCCCGAGAACTCACTTGGAAAGGGTCCTAATTTTGGATATTTTTTTTCGCGCGGAAGCTGTTTAGTTGACTTTCAGCTTACATTTCCCACTCGAGAAATCTTTGACTGTTAGTGGGTGATGTATTATTTTAGTTTGCTACTTTTGTGGCTCTCCCAAGAACGTTTCTGTCATGTATAAATAAGCTCGATTTGTGTGCTTGTCAACCTCTTATTTCTTGATGCTTATAGCATACACTTTCTACACCTTATCAGGACTTCTTGATATGGGTCGCCGGGTCGGGGACAAACGGATTAGTATAGCCTATCGTGTCACTGCCTCATTTGTCTGCGCTCCATTTACAGAGTAAGGTGGACTCGGAAAAGATGAATTGTTTAAATTCTGTTCATAAATGTAAAAGATGTTGATGAAACTTAAACAATTCTAAAACTATGGATTGAAGTTTGTATAGATGGTGAAAAACTGTATTACTGTATTCACACGCTTAAGTGAAAAACATTAAGAATACAAGGATGTTGTTGTTATAATATAACATTAGCTTATTAAGGAATAATAACAATATTCTTGGATAATGCTATTCGTACGTGGTGTTTCGCACAAATAGGTGAGTTATTTAAAATTTAGAACCATTAATTATTGGTAAAGATAAATTTTTTTAATTCTGTTCATGAATGTAAAAGATGTTGATGAAACTTAGATAATTCATAAAATATTAAGATTATAAGGGCGTTGTTAGATCAAGTCTATCGTTAAAGAAAAAATCAAATATACAAATGTTTAATTATGCTTTCTCAACCCCGATATATTGTGACGAGTTGAAATGTTGGGACTTCAATACCATATAAAAGCTCAAATATCATTCGATACAAACACCAACTCGCTATCTGTTTACTAAATTGATTTGACCCCTTATCCAGTGTATACAAAAGCAACAAGAAAATTGTATGCAGTCTTTTATGAATGATTTATGACCAAACAACATGACTGCAGGGAAACCTGTAAATATACATGTTTTGCTCAATTTGCAATACATGATACCAATCACCAGCCTACAAATACAAAGTGTGTACATATAACTCATGTGTTTTAGTCTCATTTATTTAACAGTTTTATCCAAAATTAATTTGTGTACAAACTTGCTAGGCAATAATCCAAACCTCTTTTTCTTAATAGTGAAGCTTCTGGAACTTAATTGTGTAAACGAACATTTAGAATAATTCAAATCGCTGCTGAAAATAATATCTAGTACAAAAGAAATTTTAGCATTTCTGAGTTCTGTTTTTATAAGAAGCAACGATTTTCCGAATATGCAGAGATTTTTCTATACCGTATGCCTAAAAAAATCATTGAAATCTAAATACTCACGCCGGTACTTAAAGATAATAAGATGAAGATTTAATGATTATACGAAAATTGTAATACTCTTATTACATTATCTTGCAAACAACTATAATTCAATAATGTTTAGACATTTCTTTTACATCTTACACAATATTAGAAATATCGAAAATTCATTCAAAATTAACGTTGATGAATGTGTGCATAAATCGAAATAAAACTATATTTTTTGGAGTTCTGTAAATATTTCGCTTATTTTGGAATAGGAATTTGCAAGAACACAAGTGAATTAAATTATATTGTATCTTTCTTTCAAAATGTTCCAGTAAGTTCAGTACACAAGAAAAGTAAAGTCGATTTCTACTGCACTAACGAGACAGAATTAAGTGAAATCTATTCATTTCCAAAATTAAGTGATAAACTACAATAATATCCACAGATCTGACACATCAATTTTACTTAAGAAATTAATTTATCTAATCATTTTGTAAATCTTGTCAAAATTATTCTAAACCATATATAAATGAATCGAATTTCCTGCATCTCCTACTCAAGTCAAATTGCAAAAAGCAGAATCAAATCACCAATAAAAACTAGTGCTTTATTTACAGTTGTGTATTCAGGATATTTTTAACGTGTCCTGATATGAATGACATTATTAGTAACTTAAAGTCAGTCACTCATATGTAAGAGTGTGTAAAAAGATGGAAGATAGACAATAGATCATATTTTTTATAATTCGCTTTACAACATTAAAATTTTGAATCGATATTATCTGAACAGCTTCATATCATCATTCAACTTCTATATGTTCATTAAAAAAAAAAATTTGAAAATTCAGGTTTGCGTTCCTAACACAGTATTATCATAGTTTGACTAAGAATGATAACAAAGAGATATCCATATATTCGAACTATTAAATATTGTACATAAGTTTGAGTTATTATACTTTCTTTTAATCGCGCAGAATGAGGAAGATTGATGCATATCTAACAAATAGTTGTAAACTCTAAATTCATCCGCTTTAAAATATTGGCTTTTGACTTGTAGAGATAGAACTCTTCAAATCATATCATGAACATCAACACTGCTAGGCGCATTATTCTGCTAACGTATTAGTAATCATATCCATCTATTCAAACAATCACCAAGGAATACTACCCCTAACTCAGGTATCATACGGTGGAAAAATGGAAATTTCAGTATTGTGAGAAATTCATTACTCGACCTGAGGCAAAGGGTGATGAGAGTGTTTGGGCCAATTTGCACCAAGCTGGGATGCATCTCTTGTTATCCTATGCCATACTTTGTGTATACCATATGCTATAGTGCTATATAAAGATGAAGGTTTCCTATGAAACCGGAAGTTTGCTGTGAACACTTTGGATGGCTTAGCATTCCTTTGGCAAGTACTGCTAACAGTCGATCTACAAAATTGGTTACTAGGGAGACCGATTTCATTGATATTGGTGGTTGATTTGCAACATTCCCGAGGGCCATTGTAATTTGGGTGGATCAGCATTGTTATATAATTGTGAATTTTAATAAACAACAGTCATTAATCTACGTACAAGGAAAATACGCTCAAATTTTTGTCATTGATACATTACACTAAAGTTAGCCTGGTTTAAGACTTTATTAGAATATTCATTAGTATTCGAACGACGTTTGACAAAAATTAGTCTCCGAAAGTAGAAAACACATTATTTGTGAGAGCTCTATTAGAAGTGATTTCAGTGACTGGAATTATCTAGACTTCTTTAGTCCATATAATAATGCAGGACGAAATGCTAGATTTATCTGAAAGCTCAATCGCTGAGATTGTTTCAGATATAATTTTTATAGATATTGCTTGGTTTAAAAAGTTTCATAAAAAGTTATTTTACTAAGGTATTTACCTGGTAAATTTCAACTTGATTTGTATTATTTGGGTGATATGTTGTTTGTCTCAATATTATGTTATTTTTCATATTAACAGAGGACTTAAATGTATGGCAAATTACTCTTTATAAAATA